GAATTGTACGTACAAGAATTAATTGTTTATGTTCTCTATGCACATTGGAGTCAATCATGTTTAATTCGTATATATTTGGTTAATTTGTTAGGGATTGAATTTTAAAAATTGTTGTTCATATTAACCCTAAATCAATTAAATTGATCAAAATCTCTTATTTCTTGTTTATGTATACGAAATGGATGCTATTGTTAAGTTATGTAATGTGTATTCACCCTAAAACAAGAAAATAAGGTGGGAATGATCACTGTACCACTATTCTTGATTATTGTACATCTGTTTGCATGTATAGTACCACTTTAATACTTTTTTGTACCATATTTTCCTGGAAAATGTGAAGTTTTTTTTTTTATTCATCCAAATATTGTTAGATACATGGAAGGGGCACAAAGTGATATACTAGAGAGTTGTACGTACAAGAATGAATTGTTTATGTTCTCTATGCATATTGAAGTCTAAAAATCATGTTTAATTCGTATATATTTGGTTAATTTGTTAGGTATTGAATTTTAAAAATTGTTGTTCATATTAACCATAAATCAATTAAATTGGTCAAAATCTCTTATTTCTTGTTTATGTATAGGAAATGGATGCTCTTGTTAAGTTGTGTAATGTGTTATTCACCCTAAAACAAGAAAATAAGGTGGGAATGATCACTGTACCACTATTTTTGATTATTGTACCTCTGTTTGCATGTATATAGTACCACTTTAATACTTTTTTGTACCCTATTTTCCTGAAAAATGTGATTTTTTTTTTTATTTATCCAAATATTTCTTTTAAAGAAATGAAAGACCGGATGATGGATTTCAATCGATCCCGATGAACATGAGCAGGTAATGTTGCTTTCATAATATTAATGAATTTATTATTGAAATATGGTATACTCGTATCATATCTTAGTTCATTAATTTTTTAACTAGTTCCATTATTTATAAATTTTTGTATTATTTTGTCATGAACGCATGGAAAACGTACAATCTAATGATTTCTCAGAGGAAGAAGATGAGTTGTTGCAAGATAAATCAATTGATTCTTAGAGATCTTGCATCAAAGGAGAGGGGCAGATATTCAGTGGGACCGACGAATTTCGAAAGAGTGTCAACAACTACGCGATTGCAAACAAGCGGTTTTAAGTATCGAAAAAATGACAAGCAGAAGGTCATCGTTTGTTGTAGCAATGCGGATTGTGAATGGGAGTATATGCATCGTTATACAAAGGGGATCAGCAGTTTGCCATCCGGAAATGCAATCTCGTCCATACTTGTGTACTCATTTTCATTCCAAAGAGTGGGTAGTAAATGACACTTTATGAGTAATATTTTTTGTACAATATACAGGCATTTTATATTGCAATATAGGTAATAGTTTTGTGAAGTTTTAATCGGTGTATTACATTTTCATTCCAGAAAGTTGGTACTAATTGATCAATAACAGATACTTCATAGAAGAAAAAGCGGTATTATATCCGTCAAAACTGGTACTAGTCACTGAGTTGAAGTGCATTAAGTAGTGTTTTTTCATTAGTGTGTTGAGTTCGTGACAAATTTGCGATTAAACTTAATTAACCAAATATCAAATATCATAGAAACTAATGTCAGAGTGATTATGGGTCGTATAAACATCATTTGTGACCGAAATTCGGTCTTCTTATGTGTTAATTACAAGTGGTACTAGGGACATGATATCTGGTACTATCGCGCCATAAAGTGATACTGCATTACACTATGACTGGTACTACTTTTTGTAAATGTTGAGCATGATTGGAATAATCAATTTTTCTTCACAAAAGTTGGTACTAATCGATCAATAACAGGTACTACGTAGAAGAAAAATGAGGTATTATTTCCGTAGAAACTGGTACCATTCAATGAGTTGAAGTGTATTAAGGTGTTTTTCCATTAGTGTGTTAAGTTCGTGACCACTTTGCGATTAAACTTAATTAACCAAATATCAAATCTCATACAAACTAATGTCGGAGTGATTATGAAACAACATTTGCGACCGAAATTATGTCTTCTTGTGTGTTCATTACGGGTCGTATAAACTAGAGATAAGATATCTAATACTAGATCGCCATAATGTGGTACTGCCTTACACTATGACTGGTACTACGTTTTGTAAATGTTGAGCATAATTGAAATAATCAATTTTTCTTCACAAAAGTTGGTACTAATCGATCAAAATCACGTACCACGCAGAATAAGATGCGGTACTATGTTTCCCACAACCGGTACTATTATCAAAATCACAATTTCTCTAGTCCTTCATGTCTACCATGACACGTGGATCATTCACACGTGATTTGGATGAAAAAAGTTGAATTGAAAATATATAGTTAGAATTTGGAGTAGTCATGTATGATGATTTCTATGAGATGAAGTGTGTCATTCAATTAAATGAAGTCTAGTAGAAGTGTTTTCTCATTAGTGTATCGAGTTCATGACCAATTTGCGATTAAACTCAATCAAAAACTTTTAACATCTTATATAAACTAATGTCAAAGTGATCATGTGTCGTATAAACATCATTTGCGACCGAATTCGGTCTTCTTATGTGTTCATTACAAGTGGTACTAGGGACAGGATATCTGGTACTAACTCTCCATAATGTGGTACTGACTTACACTATGACTGGTACTACTTTTTGTAAATGTTGAGCAGAATTGAAATAATCAATTTTTCTTCAAAAAAGTAGGTGTTATTCGATCGAAATCAGGTACCACGCAGAATAAGATACGGTACTATGTTTCCAAAAACTGGTACTATTATCAAATCGCGATTTCTCTAATCCTTCATGTCTACCATGACAGTGGATCGTTCACACGTGATTTGGATGAAAAAAAGTGGAATTGAAAACATATAGGTAGAATTTGAAGTAGTCATGTATGATGATTTCTATGAGATGGAGTGGGTCATTCAATGAAATGAAGTCTATTAGTAGTATTTTCTCATTAGTGTATCGAGTTCATGACCAATTTGCGATTAAACTCAATAAAAAACATTGAAAATCTTATATAAACTAATGTCAAAGTGATCATGGGTCGTATAAACATCGTTTGCGACCAAAATTCGGTCATCTTATGTGTTCATTACAAGTGGTACTAGAGACAGGATATCTGGTACTAACTCTCTATAATGTGGTATTGACTTACACTATGACTGGTACTACTTTTTGTAAATGTTGAGCAGAATTGAAATAATCAATTTTTTCTTCAAAAAAGTAGGTACTATTCGATCAACATCAGGTACCACGCTGAATAAGATGCGGTACTATGTTGCCCAAAACCGGTACTATTATCAGAATCGCGATTTCTCTAATCCTTCATGTCTACCATGACATGTGAATCGTTCACACGTGATTTGGATGAAAAAAAGTGGAATTGAAAAAATATAGGTAGAATTTGAAGTAGTCATGTTTGATGATTTCTATGAGATGAAGTGTGTCATTCAATTAAATGAAGTGTATTAGTAGTATTTTCTCATTAGTGTATCGAGTTCATGACCAATTTGCGATTAAACTCAATCAAAAACATTGAAAATCTTATATAAACTAATGTCAGAGTGATCATGGGTCGTATAAACATTATTTACGACTGAAATTCGGTGTTTTTATGTGTTCATTACGAGTGGTACTAAAGACCCAATATCAGGTACTACAACAATATGAAACTGGTACTATCTAACTCTAGGTTTGGTACTACTTATTGTAAATGTTGACCAAAATTGAACTAATTCATTCTCCTTCACAAAAGTAGGTACTAATCGATAAAAAACAGGTACCACGTAGAAGAAGATGCGATACTATTTTTGCTAAAACAGGTACTATTTTTAGAATCGTAATTTCTCTAATCCTTCATGTCTACCATGACACGTGGATCGTTCACGCATGATATGGATTAAAAAAAGTGAAAGTTAAAACATATAAGTAGAATTTGGAGTAGTCATGTATGATGATTCTATGAGATGAAGTGTGTCATTCAATGAATTGAAGTGTAGTAGTAGTGTTTTCTCATTAGTGCGTTGAGTTCATGACCAATTTACGATTAAACTCAATTAAAAACATTTTAAATCTCATATAAACTAATGTGAGAGTGATTATGGATCATATAAACATCATTTGTGACCGAAATTTAGTGTTTTTGTGTGTTCATTACGAGTGGTGCTAAAGACCCAAGATCAGGTACTAAAACACCATAAAGTAGTGTTATCATTCTCTAGGTCTGGTACTACCTTTTGTAAATGTTGACCAAAATTGAAATAATCCATTTTGGTTGACTAAAAGTAGGTACTAATCGATCAAAAACAGGTACCACGTAGAAGAAGATGCGGTTCTATTTTTGCTGAAGCAGGTACTATTTTCATAATTGTGATTTTTTTAATCCTTCATGTCTACCATGACACATGGATCGTTTACGCGTGATTTAGATGAAAAATAGTGGAAGTTAAAACATATAGATAGAATTTGGAGTAGTCACGTATGATGATTCAATGAGATGAAGTGTGTCATTCAATGAAATGAAGTGTATTAGTAGTGTTTTCTCACTAGTGTGTCGAGTTTATGACCATTTTACGATTAAACTCAATTGAAAACATTTTAAATCTCATATAAACTAATGTGAGAGTAGTTATTGGTCATATAAACATCATTTAAGACCGAAATTCAGTGTTTTTATGTGTTCATTACATGTGGTACTCGAGCCCCAATATCAGGTACTACAACAATATAAAACTGGTACTATCTTACTCTATGTTTGGTATTACTTTTTGTAAATGTTGATCAAAATTGAAATAATCCATTTTCCTTCATAAAAGTAGGTAATAAATCGATTAAAAATAGGTACCACATTGAAGATGTGGTATTATTTTAGCTAAAACTGGTACTGTTTTAGGAATCGTGGTTTTTTTTAATCTTTCATGTCTATTTTTTCACGTAGAATAATAATAATAATAATAATAATAATAATAATAATAATAATAATAATAATAATAATAATAATAGCCAGTTCATGATAAAGCATTAAACTAACTAGACACATGATACACATACCAACAGGTCACACATACAGTTTATTGTTTAGATATCCAGTTTAAGCCCAAACAAGTATACTTATGAAAATCACAGATAGGACTCATGCCTTCACAACAGGAAAAAGCTTGACATCTGGTGACAAAACCAGCTAGTACCTGCATGTTGCGAAACAAAAATAAGTATTACTATAATATCTGCATGTTATTAAAATAAAAGAAAAAATGTTAAAATAAAGACAAAATAGTTCATCAAAAGTATATTACAAAGTAAGATGTGAACAACTTAAGTAGTATGAAGATGAAACCATTTGCAGTAAATGACATCAGGTGCTCAGAAATGAAATTTTAATAGAGAAAATGTACAATTGGATGATTATCGAGCACAAGCTAGAAATTTTGCAGAAATTGTCAATATATTAAGAATGTAAGAAATGCTCAAGACACAGAATACTATATAAAATACATGCTGACTTACCGAACTGGCCAGTTCATATTATTATACATAATTTCCCAATTATATCCCAACATCATAATCAGTAACTAAAGAATGTGAAAACACAAACTTTTACTTTCATCATACCAACAAACCAGCTCACAAATGCAATGAAAAAATAAAAGAAAAGGAGGATAAGGAAATAAAAGTAGAGCAATTAATAGAGCAAAGAGACCTCTCGCATCGGCAGCGGCTGCCTCCACTTCGGCCCGACCTACGGCTGCTTCGTCGACTACTATGGAGGGCACGATGGTATAATCGATTTCGCGGACAAGCTCTTTGCCAACGGCCTAGTCATGCCGCTCAAGCCTCCACTACGATGCCACCGCCTCTCAGGAACATCGTCTGAGCCAAGAAACCACGCGATACCCAATCAATTTTTCGACACTGATGCAGGCTAACAACAAATGCCTGACCGAGTACACCCTGGCCATGGACCTGTTAATCAGAGCCAAAAGGAGTGTGCAAATCGTCAAGGTGAATTAGAGCCGAAAGTAGCGTACAACAAATGTCTGACCGAGTACACCGGCGGTTTTCTTAGATACCGTTCGGCGGCGAGCAATTTAAGTCGGAAAAATTACCCAAAATCCCAAACAAATTTGGGTCATTACTTACCGACGGAGCTGAGAGACGTTCAAGTACCATTAGTTGCATCTTAATTTTCCCTAATTTTGCAGAATCATTAAAATCAGAGCAACAGAATTGAAATTCATCAATCAATTCCAAAAAACAAATTAGACTAATTAGCCATTGAACACTGCAAGATGAATGTGGATTTGGGGATTGACGCGAAGCAGCTGAAATCCAAAAATTGATCGAAGTGCGGAATTTTTTCACCACAGTAATTACTAGAAGAAGCACATAAAGACATGGGTACATAGATAAATGCTGAAAAAAAATGAAATTTGAACTAACCCGGAAGATTATGCTGCGGCGTAGGTGGCCGTGAAAGCTAAAATTCCGGCAAACGGAGGCGGCAAGCTGCTTCAGAGTCGTCACATCACCGTCGTTTCGGTCTCCATTTGCGGATGAATGGTCGATGAGGAGCGATGGCAAGGTGGATACAAACAACCGATTATGAAAATTTGTGAGATTCGAAGGTGAGATCCATGGCAAATTTAAGAAATTGAGAGAGGAAGACGGCGATGAAAAACGAAGACAGAGAAAGGGCCGAACAAATTTTTCCCATTTTTTATGATTTTCAAATAAATAAATTAATAATAATAATAATATTAGTATATATAAGGGGAGTGAATAGGAAAGAGGATATTGTATTAGGGAGTACCTAGGGACTGACAAGGAATTACCCGGAAACTTTTTCTTTTTCGTAATTTCAAAATATTTAAAAATGGTGGAGGCTTCGCCGTCGCAAGTCGCAACAAGTTTCTTCCGCTCTAATCGGCAGCTGCAACTCATCTAAACTCACTGCACTTGGATTTTCTTCAACGCCAATTCTCCGATTTATTTGTACGCGCGAAATTTAATCGAGTGAAAAAGCCTATGGCGGAGGCGGAACCAACACAGAATCTGAGGCATCCTCGAGAAGAAACATCGATTACACTGCTGGTCCGCCATCTCCCGGAGGCGATTCCACCTGAGACCCTTCATAGTCTCTTCTCTCATTTTGGTGCCTCTTCTGTTCGTCCCTCTTCTTTTGGAAGGTTGCTTGCTCGCTTACCTATTATTATGCACAAAATTGTGATTTCTTTCTTTCATGTTATGTTCTTCCATGTTTTTGCTGGGGCACAATTCCTGTTGGCATTTAGTTTTTCTTGTTTTTTTCTTAAGCGACCAGAATTTGCTCTTGATTGGTGGTTTCTCACTTCCATTTTCGTTACTCTTTGCTGCTAATATGTAGCAATATACTTAAATGCAGGGTAAAAAATTGTGCTTTCGTTGATTTCAGTAATGAAATAGCAGCGTCTCAAGCTCAAAAGCAGCTGCATGGGTACTCCTTCATTACCTTCTCACCCACCTTATTAACTTTATTAAAAAAAAATGAAGAAGTCCTCATTCTTATAAGCCATTGGGCTTATCATGTTTTGATTTTCTGAACTAAATTATGTGTGGCAGATTACGGTTTCTTGGTAGAGTGTTGTCTGTTGAAAGAGCTAGTAAAGTAGCCGAGAACACTAAGCATCAAGAACGTGGGAAGGAGATTAGGAAGGACTCTACGTCGAATATGAAAGACAGTTCAGTCCCAAAAGGTTCTAGTGATAATCAAAGAGCGGGTTATATTCATGCTTCCCAACCCATTGCTGAAAAACTTGGTGTTGATTATCCATTTCCTCCCCACCTTGAGTATGTCGTAGCTTGTGGGTTTTTGAAATTCTATTTTTCTTTCAACATCGTTCCTGTATTTTCTTTCTCAATTTTTCCATGAGCTTCCACTTTTTATTGTTTTGAGGATTTTCTTAAAAATAATTTCTTTAATAACTACAGTGCTGCTACTTATTGAAAAGTGTTTTGTTGCTTTAGTGGGATACTTGAAGTAGTCTGTGCTTAGTTATATTTACTAAGTTCAGCTTTGGTCTCTTTATCCATCTACTCACTATTCAACATACAGATATGCATACCCACCACCTGATGGACACATTCTAACCAACATTGTTAATGCTCTTATCGCTGTTCCCCGCTTTTATACTCAGGTCACAATGATTTGTCCCTTATATCCTCGTCTTCCTCGCTTTTCTCATATTTAATTCATCACTGCTCACCTTGTCCGGGTATTCATAATAATTCCTACACCATCTTTTCATCTATCTTCATGGAATACAGGTTTTGCATTTGATGAACAAAATGAATATTCCTGCTCCATTTCGGAAAGCACTGCCTACTCCACCTCTTCCAGTATCAGTTCCTGCTCCTCCTCCGCCACCTCCCCTATCATCCTCAGACACTAAGATGGATGATTTATATAGTAGTGAGTCAGAAATGGAGTCTTCTGATGAGGTGATTTTTTACTCGTTGTCATTGCTATTATCTCCTTTACTTTTATTACCCTTTTCCTTATTGTTCACCTGTTCTGCCTATTTTACATTTTAAAGTAATTTTCTTTTTTTGGTGGATGTTGAATGTGTAATCATATTTTGGTTTAGGATGTCAGACGAGTAGCTCGACCTAGTAGAAAGCGTGTCAAGAGACAATTGATTGTAGGCCCTGGTGTTGACAGCAACGTGGCTCATGAGGCTGTTGGACTGAAAGAAGTTGCATTAGTTCCAAAAGAAAAGCCTATAATAAAAAAGAAGAACCCTGTACTGCAGGTCTTCTTGGCCTTTAACCTATGATGTAATATACCAACACTTATTTTGTTTTTTGTTATAGTGTAACGTATTGGGTTCACACATGTTTCCAGATTAGAATAGCACCTAAGCAGATTCAACTTCAACCTCAATTGAATGATGATGATGCAACTAAGGAACCACAAGTGCATGGCACTTCTGAGGATCATCCTTATGCAACTTTGGAGGAACTGACTAGCGGAAAATTGCCACCTGAAGAAATACTATCTCTTCCTAGATTTAAGGTATCAGAACCAATTGTTGCAATTTGTTCGTTGAAAATAAATAGACTAGCTGATTTATTAAATTTTGAATGTTGCTACTACACTGGAAAATGTCAAACCCAATTTCTCAACATGCATGATTCTTACTTTAGTTATTAAAGCTATTTGGAAGTATTGTTGTGCCTTCCCTTTTTTTCCCCTTGTCTTCCGAGTGACTAATGTAGGTTTCGATAGAGTGCACGGAGGGTTTGGGTATGGTAGTAGGGACGAAGAGGGAAGGGTGTGTTGGACTTTGCGATGGCCTACGACTTGTTGTTAGCGAACACCCTCTTTAGGACTTTACGAAGAGGGAATCTCACCTAGTGACCTTCCATAGTGGACGACACTCAAGTCAGATCGACTTTATCCTTGCAAGGAGGGAGGATAGACGCGCTTGCGTAGATTGCAAGGTGATACCTGGGGAATGTGTTGTCCCCCAGCATAAGCTGGTGGTGGCGGACTTTCGATTCCGAATACGTGTCCACCGGGCAAACGTGCCAAGACCGTGAGAATGAAGTGATGGAAGCTTAAAGGGGAAGCGGCGCAGATGTTTAGGGATAGGATGCTAGGTGAGGGGCCTTGGGAAGAAGGAGAAGATGCAGATGACATGTGGCTAAAGATGGCAACATGTGTACGGAAGGTGGCTGCAGAAGTACTTGGTGTGAGTAGGGGAGACAAGCAGGAAGCGGAGGACACTTGGTGGTGGAATGACGAGGTGTAAAGGGCTATCCAGGAGAAGAATGAGTGTTTCAAGAGTCTCCACCTTGACAAGAGTGCAACCAACATTGAGAGCTATAAAATAGCGAGAAGGGCTGCAAAGCGTGCCGTGAGTGTAGCGAAGGGTCAGGCCTATGATGACCTTTATCAGCGCCTAGGCACGAAGGAGGGGGAGAAGGACATTTATAGGATGGCTAGGATTCGGGAGAGAAAGACAAGGGACATCAACTAAATCAAATGCATCAAGGATGGGTCGGATCGGCTGCTGGTGAAGGATGGGGAGATCAAAGACAGATGGCGAGAGTACTTCGACAAATTGTTTAATGGGGAGAGTAAGGGTCCTACCCTGGAGTTGGAGGACTCATTCGAGGATACCAATAGACGCTTGGTGAGGAGATTTCGGGAGGCAGAGATTGGAGAGGCTATGAAGAGGATGAAGGGAGGTAAATCAATGGGCCCTGATGGTATCCCCATTGAGTTGTGGAGATGCTTGGGCGCCAGAGCGTTAGTATGGCTAACTAAACTTTTTAACCTCATTTTCCGGTCAAACAAGATGCCTGACGAATGGAAGAGAAGTATTTTAGTATCGATCTTCAAGAACAAGGGAGATGTTCAAAGCTGTGGTAACTACCGTGGGATTAAGTTGATGAGCAATACGATGAAGCTCTGGGAGAGGTTATCGAGCATCGCCTACGACGAGTGACTAGTGTGACCCAAAACCAATTTGGGTTTATGCCTGGAAGGTCAACCATGGAGGCGATTTTCCTAATACGACAGTTGACCGAGAGATATAGGGACCAAAAGAAAGACTTGCACATGGTCTTTATCGACCTTGAGAAGGCTTATGACAGAGTACAGAGGAATGTCATGTGGTGGGCCTTAGAAAAGTACAAAGTCCCATCTGAGTACATTACCCTCCTCAAGGATATGTACAAGGATGCGATGACGTGTGTCCGAACATTTAGGGGCGATACCAGCGACTTCCCAATCAAAATAGGACTACACCAAGGGTCAGCATTGAGCTCTTATTTATTTGTCTTGGTGATGGATGAGGCCACAAGGGACATACAAGGTGATAGCTCTTGGTGTATGCTCTTTGCTGATGATGTGGTGCTAGTTGACGAGAGTAGGGCAGGGGTAAATAGGAAGTTAGAGCTGTGGAATGACACGTTAGAGTCGAAAGGCTTAGTAGGACGAAGACCGAGTACATGAAGTGCGCTTTCAGCATGGCTGCACATGATGATGGTGACGTTAGCCTTGACGGGCAAGTGGTGGCTAAGAAGGAGACTTTCCGGTATCTAGGATCGATGCTACCATGGTTTAAAATGGCGACGCCTCGAGGCGAGGCGACCGAGGCGAGGGCCACTTCGCCTCGCCATAGCCTGAGGCGACCCTGTTCGCGAGGCGCTCGCTTCAGGTTGCCTCGGCTCGCCTTTTCGCGTGGCGAGAGGCGCCTGTGAGGCGCACCTCGGCGCCTTTAAGGGGAATTAAAGGGGCAGTCCATTAAAAAAAAAAAAAAAGAGAAGCGACACTTTTTGGAAAGAGAATAAAATTAAAAACAGATCGAAAGCAAAAAAACTTCAGTGAAAAATCTCTAAATGGCTTCTCCCCAAGCAAGGGTTTCTATGATAGAACTCCCTAAGCTTCTCGGATTTGAAAATTGCATAAACCCATGGCCGACCCATCCCATTTCCGGCCTCCTCTGAACTCCGACCACCATCTCGCCACCGCCAAGACGGTCGGTGATGCATGCCTTTTCTTTTCTTTTCCTTCTCCCTCTCTCTTTTTCCCGTTCCCGTTTCTACCGTCTTTTTTTCTTCTTTATTCATTTTTTACTTTATTATTTATGTTTACTAGTATGGTCAATAGTCAAAGGTGAAAGGGTGCAACA